GGGCCGGTCCTGATATAGGGGCAGGATGGGGTCCTGATATAGGGGCAGGATGGGCGACTGCCCCGGGCCCATCAGGAAGAGGGGCCCATAAATTATTTAGTAGTTGTAGTATATAAATATTGAGTCTCGTTCACCTCAGGCGCGCTTGATGGGGAGTTCTGTACGAACAAGTCCATTTGTGGTGCTCCCAGATGAAACTGTTTAATGAAAGTTTATGAGCATCTTTTTCATTAGGTGTGGATTGCATCCATAAATTTTCAGCTTAAAATTCAATTGGGAAGTCTGTTAAATAAATTATTGAAAAACAATGCGCTTTAAATTTATACTTTCCTCCGTTCTTTAAATTCTTGCAACAATTTGACTTTCACGTTTGTCAACGCACAACTTTGACTGTATTTATATTAAATTATGTATTAATAAACATTATAAAGAGTTGATATTTTAAAAATTCACATTGATAAGAATTCAATAACATTTTATACGTAATAATTTGATTATGTATATTAGTAGAAAATCGTGGTCAAAGTAAGGTCTGTGACTAGTGTGAAAATCACAATGTTGCAAGAATTAAAGAACGGAGGAAGTATATGTTTAAAAAGTGCAGTGTTTTTAAGGAACTTATTTAACTAACTTCTCAATTGAATTCGAAACTGAAATTTCGTGTAAATATTATATTTTTATCATGGGAATATTACCGGCATATTACTAAAACTAGTTAAGTTTCCCATAATATGAGTGTAGTTCTTTTTGGTCATAGGTATGAGTTAAACTAAATAAACATTTTTAGAACCGGTTAAATCCACTGCATTGAATGACAAGAATACCCTCATAAATAAATGGGGTTCTTCGACGCGGTACTGGTCATAGTGGGCGGCAAGAAAGGAAAGAAGGCGATCAAAACTTCAGGCGAGGAAATTAGTGATTAGCAGAGAGAATTTTACGGAGTTCATTTATGGAAGGAATTTCAAACAAAACCCTAACAAAGAACGATGAGGGAAAGAAAGAAAACCACAAGCTGCGGTTCGAAGGGAAGTTCAAAGACGGCATATGTGCGAAGAAAAATGGCAAGGGGAAAAACGAAGGCCAATGCAAACACCACCGGCGCACATTACGAAGTAGTTACAATCGACGGCAATGTGAGTTCTTTTTTTAATTGAGATAACTTTCTTAATTTGGTTAATTTGAAGTCGTATATTGCTGCATAGAGCTCAAGTTGTTTATGCATTGAATTAGGAATATATTTGAGTATGAGGTGAATTGATTTTTAGGAGGGGGAATTGACTTGGGTTTTTGGAGTGAATTGATTGTTAGGACGGAGGTGATTTACAGGGCATTGATTTACAGGGCATTGAGTTACTGCGCATTGATTTACTGCACACGAGTTTTAGTTGGTGTGATGTACAAGGCATTGATTTTTTTGTTTTGAGTTTTTTGCATAAACGGGCACTGCATGTTAAAATCACAAAGTGTGGTTCCTGATGTATGCTTTGTCACTATGCATTGAATGTTGAGATTGTGTGAGTTGATGGTGAATTACAGGGCATTGTTTTTTATTCGCAAAAATGGGGCATTCAATGAGTAAAACATAAATTGTGGAATATGATTTAGGCTTTGGTATTATGCAGTGAATGCAGGTTAAATATTATATAATTAGAAGCATGCACAAGCACCACATTTTCTATATCCTTGAATTGCTTTTTCTAACCTACCTCAGATACTTAGTATTGGCACTTCTGTGGGTAAGGGTGGGTGCTTAATTTAACTCTCTGTGACTAAAGCAGCATATATTTACTGTATACTTATGTGCCTTCATAGTATCATCTTGGGTTAGTTTGAGACTGTTTTTAAGATGGTACAATAATTTTATGTGTGATGTCCTTTCATCCCTGGATTTTCTTACTTTTAGCTTATGATAGGACTAATAAGCGTTTTTGTGATGTCATAACATATCTTTAATCAATATCTGTGATTGGCATAAAAGTAAATGAAATTTCTTATTTTTGAACAGGCTTATAAGCGTTTTTGTAATGCGGACATTTTAGTGGACAAGTCCGACCTGAAGATGACTTCATTTTGCAATCCAGTAAAGGCTGTAGAGAGTATACGAAGTGTGCTGACCGAAGAGGAATTAATAGAATTTAGGAAGACTGTTTTTGGCTATCTATTGGATGTAGGAAACATGCCCTGGGTCAGTGCTCAACTTTTATGCATGCTAGTGGGCAATTACGTGGAGCGTTTGGAAGAAGTTGGTAGCAAGAAAGTCATTGAGTTTCAAGTCTGCAAAAAGTTGATTTCAATGAAGAAAGAAGACTTTGCTTTGATAACTGGTTTTGAATTCGCGGCAAAGAAGCCGACCTTAAATTCTCACAGGCAGGGTGAAGTGTGGCGAAAATTCTTTAATGGAAAGAAAAGTGTGGATCGGTCAGACCTTAGGCAGGTTTTTGAATCCATAACTAATAGAAGAGAAGAGTTTCAACTTCAACCATCAGATGCAGTGAAACTTGGTTTGTTGCATGTCCTAGGAAACTATATTCTTGGAAACCAACCAACCATCAAGATTCCCTCCACTTATATCAACCTCGTAGATAACATTGAAGAGTTCAATAAATACCCATGGGGTGACGTGGTGTGGGAAGATTTGGTTGAAAAGCCCAAAGTGTGCTGCCATTGTAGGTGAAGGAAAAAATACAAGGCCCACATTTCCAGGCTACATGTTTGCTCTTCAAATATGGGCATTCGAGACTTTTACAGAACTGAGAAAAATGAGAGTGTGCCTAAAAAAGCCATGCAATCACTGGCCAAGGATACTGAATTGGTCGGCCCCCTCAAGACCAGCAACGGGCATGCTTGAGCAGCTTGTATTTAGTAATTCAAAAGTAAGATGCATAATATCATTCTGTTTTGTAGTCATTCTGTTTTTAGTAAACAGAATGACTAAAAACAATTCCTTATTCAATATTGTAAGTGCATTTAGTATAATTTGTGAGTTATAATTAATATCACTAACATTCAATATTGTTATGATTTTGACAGTTCGAATGGGAGGCAATGGAACCTACAGAAGATGAGTTGAAAGAGGAACGTGTAGCAAATGCGTTGAAGCAAATCAGCAGTGAAGAAGCAAGTTCAAAGGCAATGAGTAAGACAAGTAGAAGTGGAAGTGTACAAGGTTCAGGAAGGAGGGGAAAAAACAGAAGGGGTGGAAGGAAATCCAAAAATGTTGTTGATGAAGACGAACAATCTGATGATGATGTACAAACAAGTCCTAATGTGAGAGGAGTGAAGAGGAAAACCAATGTTAGTGAAAGGTTATTGGTTGCATTGAGAGAGCAAAGTGAGAGAATTGACAAACTGGAGCGAACAATTAATAAACTTTGTGAATTGCAAGTCAAGCAAGCAAGCATGATGAAAAAGTTACTGAGTAATGCTAAAAAAGGAAAGGCTCATCTGGTCAGCAAGTTTAACTTCATAAAAAAGAAGAAGGAGGCAAGAGATCAGGATGTTCCGTCTTTTGACCTTGCACCCGAGTTCACTGTGGTAAATGATGAACCTGAAGAAAAGGAAACCGGTGATATGTCCACCGAAAATGTGGAAGAGCAAACTATAACTGCAGTGGATGGCATCTCAGTTCAAGCGGAGAACATTGCAGACCAAGTTGATGCAGAGTGGGGGGATGGATTTGAAGAGCCCCTAAACACACAGTTACTAGTTAATGAAGTGGATAGCATTGTGGCAGATTTTCATTTGAAGCAGAGCATTGAGAAAGGAAGCAAAAACATGGCGTCTGGTGATGGAACAAGTGGGGTTTTGGATGAAATGAAAACAGGGGAAATGGTTTCAAATAATAGTGAAGCAGAACAAGAGGAGAATGCGGTTAAGTAGTTTCAAAAAATAATATTTATTTATAATCTTAATTGCTATAAATAATTTATATATGGTAAATATTAAATGTTGTAAAATTTCAGGAAGATGTGGGGATAGAAGAGGAGTTACGGAAGCGTCCGAGGAGAGAAACGAAGGTCCCTGACAGATTAACGTTGTCCGGGCCAGTGAACACGAAGAAGAGGAAGACGGAATCCAGGTTTCAAGGGAAACAACCTGTGCTGAGAGGTCCTCTCCCTTTGAACCCAAAAGACGAGCCGAGTAATGAGGCGGAAGAGATAATAGTTGAGTTCATGTATCATGGACTGCTGAAAAATAATAAAACGGTGAAGGGCAGGAAGTATAGATCAACTGATGAAAAGTTGAAACTGCGAAACGGAAATGACATGTGGGAAGATGACAGACTCACAAGCAAGTCATGGTACTATGATTTATGGTTTGAGGGCAATTGGATAAGAGACTCGGTAAGTTTAATATATTACTATTATTTTGGTGTAGAAGTGTTACAGTGTAATATACTATTAATGCGAAGTTGTCATCTATTGCAGCACATAGACGTGGGCATGTACCATTTGCGTGTCAAAGCAAAACAATACTCTCTTCAACAGAAATTCACCACTACGAATCGTGATTTCATGGCATTGGTGAAACGCCATCATGATGTCATTGCGAAGAATCAGAGTTCAGTAGAGGAAACAAGTCGTAACAAGAGTATATTGTCTGCAATCCTGGGAAGGAATATGGATCACGGGCTACCATGGTCAGGGTGTGAGTACGTGTACATGCCATTAAATATTGGCAGTCACTGGATTCTCCTAGTTCTTGATGTTGGGGGAAAGAGAATCCGCATATATGATTCTTTGAATGCAAGTGGAAACCCATGCCGAAAATTGAAAGAGTTCTTGCCTTGCATCGAAATTCACTTAGCCAGGCTGATGGATTGCTTAGGGGTTTTTCATGAACGCGGGGAGGTGCCCATTGGAGAAGGGAAATTGCAAGTGGAGATTGTTACTGAGTGCCCGCAGCAAAATGATGGGTAATAGGAGTGAAAAAACAAGATACAGACATCAAGCCACAACTGATTATAACTTGTAATTGACTTATTTCTTGTAGTGAACGCATATGAAGCCATCTAGTTGGAATTCACGACAAGTGCAAGTCCCTTCTCTTAAATTGACAACATATGATCTTCCTTTTCTGTCAAAAACTTCAAACTCAAAATTGCATGATGGCTTAACCTGTAAAATCAATGTGTGAAAAGTAAACTCAATGTTACGTGAAAAAGTTGAATTGTAAAAAATTAAAGATTAAAGTGACATAATGTATTCAATGACCTGCATTAAGGCTGCACTAGATTGAGATAAAATCAGCTGGGATTCAAAATGGTCAGAGAGCCTAGAATGGTTAGCTGCAGCAGCTTCTCTACGATCACAAAACCATTTCTGCAATGTGCCTACAATGAATTCTACCAACTTGCAAATTGGATACTCACGGGCAGTGACAAAAATCGCATTCAGAGACTCCGCATTATTGGACATCATAACAGAGTATCTATTGCGACTAGCATATGCACGAGACCACTTGTCGTTACCAATTTTTTCCAAGTATGGTCGTATACGAGGGTCATCATAATCAAGCATGGATAGATACCGTTCGCATTCATACACTGAACCTGCCCTAGCTGCCTGTAAAAATTTCCAAGACACCAAACGTGCCGATCCACGAAATTTGGATTTTATATTACCTAAAATATGGTAAACACAAAAACCATGTTCCGCGTGTGGAAACACTGAACGCACAGCATTTAAGATTCCCTCGTGGCGATCGGACACAACATATAAGTCATCCCTATGTTTAAGAGACTTTTTCAACATCTCGAAAAACCATGTCCAGTTCACAGTGTTTTCAACACTACAAATAGCAAATGCAAGTGGAAAAATTTGTTTATTGGCATCTTGAGTGCATGCGGTTAGTAGTGTTCCTTTATAATATGACTTCAAAAAAGAACCATCAACAATAACTACTGGAATGCAATGTTCCCATCCATCCCTCCATGGCGCAAGAGACATAAAAAAATACTCAAATTCTCCATTTAAATTGCAAGAATATGAGACAATAGATTCTGGATTTGCTTTATCTAGCATATGGCACAAAGATGGCAACCTATTATAAGACTCCTTGTCAGATCCTCGAACCAGCTTCATTGCAATTTCCCTTGCATGCCAAGCTTTTTTATAAGACATTACAATACCATAAAGTTTTAGCATATCTGCCATAATATTTTGAGGTGTGTAAACTTTTTTGGATGTGTCATCATATTCATGCTTTATGAGTTCGGCAATAAGAGAAGCAGATGCTTGACGACTATTAGCTTGTCTAAGATCAATTGAACACGTATGTTTGATATCAAATCTGAAATATCGAATGAATCAAAATGAGAACTCCGATGTATAGAATTTAGAATGAAATGGTTATTAAGAATGGATTTCAATGCAGTAACATATGAACTAAAAAAAATCAGACCTTTGCACTTGAAACAAGCCGCTCTCATCTACACGGGCTCCTCGGACAGACCACTTGCACTCTGGATCGATACAAACTACATGCAACACGTTAGGAGATGATGATTTCGTCGTGTATTGGAAAAAATTTGTGATTGCAAGCATCCTCAAATCAAAATCAAGATCTTTCTTGCTATTATAAATAGCATGGAGAGCAATACGAGTGAGGTCAAAATGGGAGACAGAAGATGGGGGCGGAAGTTCAAATGAACTTGGCGAGTCATCATTATACATATCTTCATCATAAGAACAAGGGCTTACAACACTGCATTGAATGCTGGAATCCTGCTCTACACCATCAGCATACCATGTGGTTGCTTTGTCCGCTCCACCAACTGCTTCCAATTGAGGACTGAATTCCAAACCTTCAACATCACAGACATCATTATTACAATCATTTGGCACACCTGCAGTACATTCATTCATCAAATTAAAAAAGAAAAATGAAATATATAAAGCATAAGACATAATGTAGTTATACGAACATGAAACAAATCACTAAACTCACCTTCAAGTCCATGAAGTATTTCGACACAGAGGGGGAGTTTATTCAGTTCTGATTGAATGCACTTCATTTGCAGATAAAACATCAAACTACAATCATCATTGATAATAAGAGGGGGAGGACATGCTTCGTAAACGTATGAAATCCGTATACGTTCGCCGGAATATTTAACGCCCAAGGAACCATACACAATAGCGCAGAAATCTTGAAATGAACATGACAAAGGAATATCAATAAGAATAGACGATGAACTGTGAAACTGAATCTTACTATCCCACTCCCCATCTACCTTCACCATCACACGTATGTTCGGAGATTGGTGCGGATGATCTAGAAACTCCATGGATGTCAAACAAATTTACGATTGCTCCAATATACGGAAAACCTTTTTTAAGCTTGATATAATAACGAACCATACATGTCGGAGATATAGCTCCAGCTCTTGAGACATGAAAAATCACACGTATCTTTGCTTACCTATTTTAATGGATCAATCATTGAATGAAAAACAGTTACATGGGAAGAAAATGAGAAGACTAGGGAGTGTCTTAATCACATACATACTTACCGTAAATGAACCTGGAGGGCAGACATGGAACGAACGAAATTAGATTCTACTCGGGTCGTATGACTTAGTTGACCGGTAGTACATATTTGGGAAAATTTCGTTTAGGTCTTATTATGGGAAAACAGATGAGTTTTAGTAATACTAGGGGTAAATTTCTCTTTTATCAATTAATTCGACCTAAAAGCTCTTCAAATGGACTTGTTTGTCCGAGACATCTTGTCAACCGCTGCAGACCAAATCATTTCCCTACATTCTAATACTTCGTAAAAGATATCCTTCGACCCTCATATCCGTAGACTGAGCACAACGGAAAAGGTTCACATGAAACACTACTGGATAACATTCTACCTTCTGCACTGAAGCCGAGAATAAAAAATTGATAGTAATATTGACAATTTTACTTCTAAGAATGCCAAAAAATGTTTTGTATAGCTTAGGATCGATATCGAGTAGTTCTATGGACAAAACATTTACATGTGTAATGAATTTTATTTTAGACAAAGAAACTTTTGTAATACATTCTTACAACAAATAATTTTTGTCTTTTGACCCGGGCCTATAAATTATCAGGACTTTCTTCTGGTCCAGAAGAAAGAGATATTGATGCTGCTATTTGGGAGAAAACCAATGCCAACATACGGGTCAAGTTATGGGATTCTATGGATCCCAACATTAGCAAAAAATGTTGATGGACAGTCTACCCGGGGGGTATCTTATCCGAGGGGTTATTGTGGGAATAACTTAGAGAGAAGTCAGAGCAAATAGGAGGAGAGAGAGTCGATTTATTAAATGAACTCGAGATATGGAGTTGTGTGTCGATGATCTTTTACAAGGAGAAATTGCTGCTATTTATAGCAGCAATAAATGCGATGAGAGGACACGTGTCAGTAATCCAACGGCCGAAGGGTCACATCAACCGGCTGGCACCGGCAGTGGTACGTTTACCGCATTGAATGCGGTTGGCGGATGTGACGTGGCATTAAATGCGGTGGTTGGCTGTCTCTAAAAGGAATCTCCGATGATTGAGTGTGCTTGGCCGAGGGCTCCTTGTGTTGCCGAGGGCTCCATGTAGCCAAGGATCCCTGTGTAGCCGAAGGCCCTGTGTGACCGGGAGGCATGGTTTAGCTGGGGGCTCCTCTGATGCCGAGGGCTCGATAGAACCGAAGGCTCATGTTTTTCGCCGTTTTCTCCCAGTAGCCTCTTATGCCAGAGAAGGCTACCCTGTGAGGTTTGGGGCCTTCGGCCAAGGAGGCCGAAGGCACTCCAGCGCGTATTCTGGGCCACGTTGAGGCTTGGGCCGCTGCATTTTGGGCCTGAGTTGTTCCTGGGCTCAATGAACTTGTGCAGGAGAAGTAGGAGTCTATGGGCCGGGGGTTCCTGGGCCATATACTCCATCAGGATTCCCTCACTCCTTTTGCCGAAAGGTACTTGAGGGAAAAGGAGTAGATGTGTTGATTCTTCCGGAGGCCCCATCCCTTGGTTGGGTGCCTTTGCTTGAGGATTCGCCTCCTGTTGATTGCCGAGGGCTTCGATGATTTCGTCCTTAGGATCCTTCGGGGCAACCCCTTGGGAGTTGGCACGGAAGGATTGCGCCTGATTGATCTGGTGCCTGGCGTCGTCGGCATGGAGGAGGGCTTTGCCTTTGCTTCGGGGGGGAGGCACGCCCTCGGCGCCCGAAGCAGAGGCTCCACTCTCCTGGGGCCTGCTGAATGCCTGTTTCCCGAGGCGGTCTTGGACCCCTCGGTGCCCGGGAGCTCCCCCAAGCCTCTCAAGTACAGAGGTTCGGGGTTTCTCTTTCATTAGGGGGCGCTTGTCCCTGGATTGGGCCTCTTGGGAGGCGGTATCCTGTGCTATGACCCCCTCGGCATTGCCAATCCCCGGGGGAGGACTGTTGAACAGAGGAGGGAGTGGTGGCAGTTGGATAACATTCCCTCCAGCGTGGGGCTGAAGGGGCGCCTGGGAGGCGATGGCTCCTGAGTTGAGAGCCATGTTTTGAACAAAGGCCGCAAAGGCAGCCTGAAGATCGATGGCCGGGGCCGGAGGGGGAACTTGGTTCTCACTCCGATCCCTCCTTCGATTATCAAGGCCAATGCGGGCATCAGGGGCGTTCTTCTGTAGCTGCTGCCGGAGGTCAGCAGTAGCCTGCTCCAATTCGAGGATGATACCACCCTCGGGTGCCAAGAGCCTGTTGGAGGCCTCAGCCCCGTTGGTTTCGCCGGGGGCTACGTGGTTCTCTTCTAGGGTTTTGGATTGGGCACGAGTGGTTCTTCCCATTTTTGGTAAGTGTTCTGTATTTGGTAGAGGGGGAGGGTTTCTTACTTGATAGTCCAGACCTCTCAACGAGAGCACCAAATGATGGACAGTCTACCCGGGGGGTATCTTATCCGAGGGGTTATTGTGGGAATAACTTAGAGAGAAGTCAGAGCAAATAGGAGGAGAGAGAGTCGATTTATTAAATGAACTCGAGATATGGAGTTGTGTGTCGATGATCTTTTACAAGGAGAAATTGCTGCTATTTATAGCAGCAATAAATGCGATGAGAGGACACGTGTCAGTAATCCAACGGCCGAAGGGTCACATCAACCGGCTGGCACCGGCAGTGGTACGTTTACCGCATTGAATGCGGTTGGCGGTTGTGACGTGGCATTAAATGCGGTGGTTGGCTGTCTCTAAAAGGAATCTCCGATGATTGAGTGTGCTTGGCCGAGGGCTCCTTGTGTTGCCGAGGGCTCCATGTAGCCAAGGATCCCTGTGTAGCCGAAGGCCCTGTGTGACCGGGAGGCATGGTTTAGCCGGGGGCTCCTCTGATGCCGAGGGCTCGATAGAACCGAAGGCTCATGTTTTTCGCCGTTTTCTCCCAGTAGCCTCTTATGCCAGAGAAGGCTACCCTGTGAGGTTTGGGGCCTTCGGCCAAGGAGGCCGAAGGCACTCCAGCGCGTATTCTGGGCCACGTTGAGGCTTGGGCCGCTGCATTTTGGGCCTGAGTTGTTCCCTGGGCTCAATGAACTTGTGCAGGAGAAGTAGGAGTCTATGGGCCGGGGGTTCCTGGGCCATATACTCCATCACATGTTTATACATGGACTCGGCTAAAGAAATATGGGATTTCATACAACAGTCCTACTCCGTTGCTAAAGATGGCGCTTTTATCTAGGGGTGGGCATAAAACCCAAACCGAACCGGTACCGAGCCGTCCCGTAATGGTACCGAACCGAATACCGGGTATTTAAACGGTTCTATAGATTTTTGTCTCGTACCGAAACCGAACCGTTTGAAACGGGTACGGGACCGGTCCTAGATTTTGAGAACCGAAAAATACCGGACCGAACCATTCGAAAATAATGCATTTGA